GTGGATGGGCGAAGCTGCGTACAGCACCGTCAACATGGCGATCCGCGAGCGCAAGACGGACGGTACTTGGATCCTCGCCTCGAAGTCGTTTTCTTACTCGTAGCATCGCGATAGGCTTGGTCGTCGACCCAAACGTGCTCGCGATCCGTGATGTCACGGTGATCGCGCTCTCGGTGCGTAAGACGCGACAAGAGCGACGAGAACTGAGTGGTTTTTATAGGCCGAGGACAAGCAGGCGCCGGTCATTGGTCTGCAGCTCATGGCGCAGCAGATCCACTGCATTCGGAACCGCGAAGGCGAGATCATCGAAGGCGCCGAAGACGAGATCAAGGCCAACTTTTACGTGTTTGCCTTCCGACGCGAGTACGACGAAGACGAGATGGCGCTGCGGTGGAAGATTGTCGAGTTTGGTGTCATTGGCTCCGTCCCGTACATTTAGACGCGGCGTCTTAGAGCATATCTAACGCCATCCCATACAGATAGAGACAACCTATCCATGCGTTCTAGAAGCTAGTAGAGGTGCCGTGGAAGAGCGCGGCAGCGGCACGCGCGTTGGCGTCGTCGTCGAGCACATCGGCGGTAAAGACGTACGCAGGAAGCTACGCCAGAGGATCGGCATCGGGCATCAAGCGTGCTAGTAAAGTACGTACCTCGTCCGGCAACACAAAGGCCGGGGCGCACTCGTCGTCGCCAAATGCAAAGGTCCCGAGCACGTCAAAGCGCAGGTTGAACTTTTGCTGCAGAAAGACCTGGAGCTTCTGGGACGCGGCCAGCAGCTACAACAAGCGATCGGTCGACGTCGTCCGCTGCGGAGGCGAGTCAAGTACCTTGGGGTGGAGCGTGTCGTCGTGAAGGATCTCGAATAGGGACGCGAGCGATGCTTGTAGAAAGTTCTCTTGCGCGACTTCGTCTTGGAAGAACTCGGCGCCAACCTACGAGGATCGTTGGCGACGGGATGGCACCGCCTAGCAACGTCTACCTGCTCGAGGTGTGTGTGCATGAGCTTGAGGAACGCGATGAAGAGGTCCGGCATCGTCTCGACCGCGGCTTCGCTCGAGCACAACAGCCAGACCATCTAATACAAGGGCTAGGTTTATGGATGGATAAAGAGGATTGCAAGGTACCTGCTTCCACTGCGTGAGTGCGTCCAGCGACGAAATGAGGAGGAAGAGCACGAACGATAGCTGGAGCTCGCCGACGAGTTCTTTCTACGCAGCGACACGATAGGGGGTATTAGGATGGACAATAAGACAATATGAGAAGAAGACGATCGATGGGAATGCAGTACCCAGTCGTTGTTGTAGTGCTCGGCCAGTACGTGCTTGAGGTGCTCACTACCAGTCGTCGCATGGGCCATCCCGTCATACAAAAGAAGAGACCTCGAGTCGACATGGAACATGGTGACTTCGGCGGCAGATCGAGACAGTGCTGGCTTCTTCAGTGGCGTGAACCATGCGGTTTGCGCCGTATTGGGAAAGTACGGCGTCAGCGTCGATGGTTCGTTGGTCGACATGACGTCCGGGTCGCCCGGCATGATGGTCGCGCCCAGTGTGATGCCGCAGCGCTAACGCTCGATAATCACCACCTGGAATCGACGAGGAAGCGTACGCGCAGCACGTTGGCCGAGATGTACTTGGAGAGGCGGCGCCATGTCTTGGCGTGCTTTTGCGGGTACGCGCCGAGGTTGCCATCGAGCTGGAAGCCGCGCACCGCGCCTATGCGCACGGCATGAATTAGCATATCGATTTCGCATCGCACGCACGTGTAAGGTTCTCTGCGTCGCGCGCATCCGTGAGCGGCAAGAGCTCTTCGGTCTCATGCGACCACTTGCGCAGCTGGACGTCGCCGGCGTTCACGTGCATGAAAAATCCTTGGCGGATCCCGTCTTGGTCGCCACTGGAGGCGTAAAAACAAAGTGCAGCCCCGTAGGAAGGAGCTTGACACCCTGGAAGCGCTCTGCTGTACGAAAGGCCTCGTAGTCGACGCCAAACTCACTGCCGACCGGCACGTCCAAGCACACCAAGACGCCAACCTGTGCCATCGCTCCAATTCGACCTTCCAGCAGATTGCTACATTTTATCCGGACGTACGGATAATGGGACTTCAAATTTGGCGCCATCAGAACGTGGTGTGTTGGTACCTGGCTGGATGCACACGGAACGACGAGGTCGTTGCTTCAGGAAGCATGTTATCAACAGCGGCAGAAACATGTACTAGCTAGGAAGATGTCGTGACTAGGCCACGGGCGCTTCCTTCTTCAAGCTGGCGCGCGCGAGCGCTTGCACCTCGGCGAGCACCGTCTTGATCGGGACATTGGCAGCAAGCGCGAGCTTCTACGCACCACCGCGGTTGTTTTAGGCACGTATGCACGCTATAGCGTCTACCTGACAGTCGTCAAACTCTGGCTGGACGTTCACAGGTGCGCCGTTGAGATACCCCACCTACACGATCCGTGTCGGCCGTGCTGGTTGCCGTCGTTGCTCCTACCTTGACCGAGGCAGGGCCGTACAACGAGGTGACGGTCATGAACAAGCGCTTGAGCACAGCGCGCTCCATCGTGCGCCTAATGCCATTCAAAGGCTACGCGACGTTGCGCGACCGTACCGGCGAATACCGAGGGTTGTGGTCTCACAAAAAAGCGTGGTGGAGAGAGCGTTAACGCCGCCGGGCAGACAGAGCACGCTATCTCATTTCGATGAGATTTGCGTTGAGCATGAGCCTTGCAAACGTACGAGAGGAGGATGCCCGGCCGGTTCTTCTTCATCTGGCAGGCAGAATCATCAAATTTGTGATGTACGCAAGGGATAGGAGGAGGACCTGGATGGGCTGCCACCACACATCCAGTGCCCCTTGGTCAAAGAGAAGCTCTTGGACGTGGCTTAAAATCTACGCATCCATTTCGTGCCACCGTCTCGCACGAGGCTTGATGGACGCTACTGCGTTCTTGGTACCTGCGGGTTCATGTCATCGAGGTTCGTCTCGAGAACGACGACGCTCTCGTCGTTGGTTGGGCTTGGACTCACGGGATGCGCCGCGTCACCAATAACGACGCGCACAATGTTGGCGTGTCCGGGAAAGTCCTTGGTGCCGGCGCCGCTCCCTGCGAAGAACGTTGATTTGGCTACCATGGTGCTATTGCCCTACCGTGCGTGTGTGGGATGAACGCCGGTGGTGGGCCAAACGATGTGGCGAGTGCCTTCATGAGACTCATGCCCGTCGGCGTCACAAGCTCGCCCGTTGCTCTAGAATAGCACGGAAAATGTCAAAATACTAGAGGAAGCGATGACATTGCCCTTTGGGCGCCGGAATGACGGGGACGCCTTGCATGAGGTCAAGTGTCGCAGGCACGGGCACAGGCATGAGGCCGTGCATGCACTTGACAAAGCCGTTCGAGTACGGCAGCGGCGAGCAGTGCACCTCGTCGACATGCAAGAGCTCGAGGGCGAGGACAGACCCGACCGTGTCGATGATGCTGTCGATCGCACCGACTTCATGGAAATGCACCTGCGCACGTTGTAGAAAAAGACCAAGTAGATGGAACGTACTTGGTCGACGCTGGCACCGTGGGCGCGGGCTTCGGCGCGCGCCAAGCACGCAAACACGTCCTTGCTCTTCTCTCGGACCCATGGCGAGAGACCACTGGCGTCCAGCATCGCACAGATACTCGCCAAGTTGCGCTCGTGGTCATGGGCATGGTCAAGATCCTCGCCCAAGCCATCTC